TGCGATACGATATGCCCCAAACGAGACGAGTCGTACGGTGCAGAACGGCAATCCTCCGAGATCGTAATGATCCCGGCGACTCTTCCTCGCTCCTCGCCTTAGAAGACTAGAATTTGCGGAATGAAGTACCGTGAAAGAGTTCGCTCTTAGATTGCTCAAGTTTTTGGGGGAGGAAAGATGTTGACAGGAATCGATAGAGTGGGAAAGTGAAACTCCAAAATTTTATGACCCTAAGATTTATGGGGAAACGTACGTTTCGGGCGCCGAAATGTCGCGGACGCATCGTCGCCACGGGACCACCCAGAATCTACCCCTGAACGTCGCGTGCCGTTTCTTAAATTTTATAATTACGAATTCGCGAAAATCGTTCGCGACTTGATTGTTAATCTTGGCGTTAATCATTGATTTTTATCTCGGAGCGACATTCATGAGGAGATAACGGATTCTTAGTTTTTAAGATGAAAAATAAAAAGGATAGAATATAAAATTTTAGAGCTTCGAGGAATTCGAGATCTTTATGAAAGAAAAGAGTCGCGTGAGTCCGCCGGACGTAACAATACAATTGTATCAAATATATGTGGGATCATTTACCATCGAGAAATTCTTATACTGAAAAAAGTTTATTTCTTATAATACGAGTATGTCTAATAAATATTAAAATAATTAACGAATATCCTTTCGTATAAAATTTATATATTCATATTATTCGCTATGTTCAAATATACATACAATATATGGAACATGAGTACGTCAAAATATTCTTCTGTAAATAAATATTGTGCAAATAAATATAGTAATACTAACACATCTATTTTCGATTTAACAAAACATTTGTCATCATTAAAATAAACATAAATTAACCATACATAATTTTTTTTATTTAATTATTTTTTATTTTTAATGAAAACATTTTTATCGATTTATTGCCTTTACCAGCCAGATAATTAAAATACGGAACTATTATATAAACAAACTTTTTATTTATAAAATTTATATAAAACGATTTTAAGTCATATATGCTTTGTATATTGAATATTTGATATTCATTATTGTTATTGCATTATTATGTAGTATCGAATAACATCTCTAATAATTCGGACAAGCATTATGCAAAATGCATATTATGCACATGGCAAAATATAAATTTTCAAGCTTTTGTAATGTTTAGATATCAGCTACTGTTTTCAGTACCTCGTCTATCTTGCTTTTTTAAGTGGCTTGCATTACTCCAACACCAAAAATATAAAGATTCTACCACAGTAGAAAATTCTTGGATCAGACTCACATAAGGTTCAAATATGTTCCAGCTAGTGTTATAAAATAATTCAATAATCTATAATCTTTGTATTTTTGTAATAGAATATATACAAACGATCGCGAAAACAAATTTATAATTGACTATTACATTTAAAAAGTAATTAAAAATATATACATATAATATGAACACTGAATTAAACAATTAATATTTTTTTTTACATTTTAGGATAGTATCACAGAAGATAAACTTTTAAATTCTAAAAAAAAAACGGAATGTATAAAAGTAATAAACGAGCATCTTGAACTTCATCCGACATTGATACAGAATGTGTAAAAGCTGTTTGCAGTAATCTTAGTAATAACATTGAGGCAAGGCTTATAAGTGTATCATGTGTGTAC